AGAGTCACAGAACGGATTAAATTCGTAACTCGAGGTTCCACTGTACAATTGAAACAATCTACAGAGAGTATGTAATAACATATCTTACCTCAACTGTAGGTGGATCACTTCTTCTTTTTTTCATCCATGCTAAGAAAATTAAAAACAAAAAAATGGTCAAGTATCTCCAGTTCTTTTTTTATAACCATATCAACAATATTTTGTGAATTTATAAGCTGCCTTTCCATATTTGTTTAAGGTGATATACAAAAATATGAAAACAAACATCAACAAACGATAACATCATTTCAATGTTGTCAGTAAATTTAGCACTAATTTTAAAACAGCCACAGAAGCAACATTATAAAATTCTAAATAATAAAACCAGAACAATTTTTTTAACCCAGAATAAATCAGCCCTATTAGAAATATTCCATCAGAATATTCCAAATGTTCTAACCCTAACCCTATACTCAAAATGTTTGGACTTTCCCCCTAGATGGACCAATGAGAGTTTGAAACAAGCCCTTGCTTGCTCACTTTTTGCCTTAGGATCTCAAAAATATATGCGGTAGTAGTCCTTGTTGAGTATTGTCTACCATCCAACCTACTGTATAGAAAAATGACCAAGGGTATTTTTTAATTAAAAAAATGTACAGACAAAGCTGCAAGAAGCATGCTTATTTCTGCTTTAACTTAACATTTTTCATTAACAAAACTTAAAACTCAATTCTTTGACCAATCTTACTATAGGGTTGGTGATGAGCAGCACTCAACATGAACTACTATTCCATATAATACCTTTTTTTTGGATCTAGGACAACAAAGGATCTTGAGTTTGTTTCAGGTTCTCCATTGGTCTTTCTAACAGAAAGTTAAAATAGAGTCTCCCGTTAACACCATTCAATTTCTCCACACCTTGCAGCAATATCTGTCTTTAAATCTGGAGCAATCTAAATCCTATTTTTTGAACCCCTGGGGCGAAAGGCCACTGTTCTTTTTAAGACTAACCAGATAAACTTCCTAGAGAAGCTATCTCATTAGAAAGCTAAGGCATCCTGACATGAGATAACGAAGGATATTACCACACATCGTATGTAAAAGCTGTAAAAAGCAGTCAAGTATGTAATGGAGTACTAATAACAGTAAAATGATGAGCAGAGAAAAAAAATCTACGGGCCTGTTCTATAACTTTATGGGGTTAGGCTAGATATCTATCTATCTATCTATCTATCTATCTATCTATCTATCTATCTATCTATCTATCGATCGTATTTATATAGCTTCCCATCTCACACAAAGTGGCTCTGGGCGGTGTACAACAATTAAAAACAATAAATACATAAAAACAATTACAAGTAAAAATAACTATAAAAGCACACAAAACAGGAGGGGATAATATTAA